CATTTTGGCGGCAGTAGATGTCGTAGGGGTGACCACAGAATTCATGAAGTTATTCTAAGAACTGGCTGGTATGTAGTGCACGAAAGCAGAGCTTAGCTGGCTCAAAAAAAATATTTATGGTCATCCCTCGAAACGACCACCAAGGTCAGTACGATAAAATGGCGTCAACTGGAGCGATAATACATGAAGGAATGAGTTCTTTCCCCCCCCACACACACACACACACACACCAGTATCGTCATAGGGGGTGACCATAGTGTTCTGCCTTAATTCGTGACGTTTTTCTAAGAGCTGGGTGCTATGTACTGTGCGAAATCAATCGACCTTGCAAGAATAAATTTTTGGACATCCCTCTTCTAAGAATTCCAATTGAGTGTGTTAGTGTGGCCAGCTCAGGGCAATATGATATTATAAACACAGCACATATCACGACTCTGCTGTTTATAACTTCATAGGAAAGAAAACACGCCATTCATAACAGTTTGAACGAGGAAACCGCTCGCAAGAGCAACAGGAACTTTGCTGCAAGACAGGCATATGTAACGATGACTTAGCGCAGATAAAGTCGTGTCTCATTATAGATAGTCCTTGTGACAACAGGCCAGCGAAAAATCTAACAATCTACAGCAAAACCATCAATTATTATGGGCGTTATAACATAGGTGTGCAGCTGGACGAAACATAGACGTCGAACCCCCCCAGACGATTTAAATACCTGACGAAACATACACGTCAAACCACGCTGAACGGTTAATTTGATGTATAATACCAACATTTGGCTGGACACCCTAAGGATCACTATGAAACCCTCAGTCAGGATAGCGAGTGTTGCAGCAATAATTTGAACTAAGCACCTCCTTCATACAAGTCAGACACAGTTCACTTGCTGGGAAGGAAACAGAATGACTGTTAATGTACATGAAAAATAACGGTCACACTATGTGAGAAACCAAATAATAAGAGGCAATACAACTACTAACAAAAATAAGCTGCCAAGGAAATGAAGAATAGTGTGGGAGTCAAGGTGACAATATGCAGCTCCTGAGGGTTGAAGGGCAGCCAATTAATCAAATGGAGTTACTCTGAGCTGACTATTTCAACACTTACAATACGAAGTAAGCAAGTAATATGTAACACATTATATGATCCTTGGAAGGAGAGGGAACTTTCTGAATTTACGAGTATATGTTTGTGCAGTTTATTGTGTGACTATTGGAAAAGCATAGTTTAACGATGATTAGTTAATCTTTGTGATGATTCTTAAGAAACATATATAATATAAGTGTTGATACAGAACAGTTCCCAGTAGCCTGAAAAAGTTCCAACAAAAAAGTGAGTATAGCAGGTATGTATTCACACTTCTATAAAGTTAATGGAATTATTCAATTGCCATTAAACAAATAAGCATAACAATGCCCAGAGGAAGATGGTTTACTTAACAACGTCAGTAACTCAGCCTATGTAAAAAGGACAAACGATTGTTGAGTAGTGAATTATAAAAGCTAAGAAAACAGAAATGACCAATATTGATTGAGTAAAAGTACAAAAATCCTCAGTCAGGATAGCTGATGCCCTGGCCAAAATTCAAACCAAGTACCTCTCAAGTACAAGTCAGAAGCATCATTGCTCGAGCCATTTGTCTAGAAGACGTAGAAGTGGGAATGGACTGTTTCAGTCTCCAGGCTAACATCAAATTTGCCAGAAAATGGTAAAAATCAGTGCTGTAGTTGGTGCATGACAAATGAACAGTGTCTCTGTAAAAGACATCTAAAAGGCATCACAGGTTCAAAGGATAGTGTTAAATCACTGGAAGACAATGAATGCAGCAGATGACTTGTACCATTACAGAACAGGGACAGTGCAAGGCAGGTACAGGAAGTGCACTCTCATTATTAACATGCGTTAAAAATGACTGCAGAGAAAGTTGGAATTTTTGGTGGCTGTCATAACCTCATCACATAACAACTGTGAATTTCTCAGGATAATCATGGAGGACCGTCTTGTGCTTACTGTACAATCCTGAGTCCTTATTCCTTCAGATGCCCCACTTTGAGAAAGCTGTACTATGACCAAGAAGGTTGGTGTAGCAGTAATGCTCTAGACTTGTATTTTAGAGATCTTGGCTGGGATACCAGTTATTCTGACTGAGGATTTATGTGGCTTTCCTCAGTCCCTCCAGGGAAATACCCGAAAAGTACCTCAATTAGGCAACGACCACTTCCTTCCAAATCCTTTCTGATTCATTATTCGTCAGCCATCTTACCACTAGATGCTATACAGACTACAATACTGACAGCATCATAAAAACTATAACTCTATTACTTGTAATAGTGATACTGCACGGAGAACAGCTAAGTGAAGTTTTGAAGTCACTACTTAGTCCATAGTTACATAGCTTTCTTTGATGCACTTTTTTGCAGCTGATCTTTATTTACATGTGGTAGTGATGAACAACAACTTACAACAGACTTTGTTTCATCTACAGTCTCCTTAAGCCCAATGAGCTGTGTCTGCAGCTTGTCCTTGCTGTCTTGCAGCTCCTGTGTCTCAGCTTTAAGACCTGCCATTGCTTTTTCCATTCCTGCTTTTTCTTCCTCTAGATCCTTGCTGAGCTTCTCCTCCCGAGCAGTCAGCTCTACAATCTCACGTTCATTTTTCTCTGGCACGTGCTCCAGCTCATTCAACTAAACACAATGTCGGAAGTTCTATAAGGAACATGTTATGTTACTTGAATATTAACTCTTTCAGTGTCAAGTAGTTCTATGGGTTATACAGAACCTGAGAGGTTAATTCATAAAATTATATAAATCATAGAAAATATCTTGATTTCCAAGTGAGAGCTGATAATCAAATAGCTTGCATGAGAGAGACGTCTCTCTCTAGAT